TATATATATATATATATATATCAATAAAGTTATTGCATGCAATTAAACATATGCAATTACTGTATGCCCAGTGCATCTCAACACAGCTGTTAAAAAAGTAAAATGAGAGCAAACTGTTGTAAAGTAAAATGATCCTACACTTTCGGAATCAATATATTGTACACCTCTCATAACAGTTATTTATCAATTAGAGATAAAGGAGGTTCAGTATTCCTGACTTTTATGTATTCCTCCATCATTCATTCAAGGCCAATTTTTATGTCCATTGGCATAGAAGGTATTCTCTTTTGTAGAGATGGTTAATATCTAGAGATGAGAAAGTTTTGAGAGATCTCTGCCACTGGGAGATAGTTAATAAGAGGTACAAAGGAAGATCAATGAAAAAAAAAAAAAAAACATTTATCCTTTAATGAGGAAATACATTATGTTAGGACACAATAAAGAACACTAACTAAAAACCAAACATAAAAAAGGGTTTTTAGTTAGTGTTCTTTGTCGTGTCCTACCACAACATACTGAAGAACACTAGGAATGTCAGTAAAAGACAGTTTGACTAAGGCGATTATAAGATGTGATTAGCTTGTGATTGGACAGGGATTTCCTCAAATGCCTGAGCCACAATGTCACCAAGCCTGTGCTCAGGCACTGTGTGTATAGATTGGATCATGTTGTCAAGGACTCAACAGGCAATTGACAATTCTGCCTTAGCCTTCACTTCCTTCTGGTGCAGAGTTTCAAGGTCAGCCAGAGGTGAGAGATTAGGCCCTCTCAGATCTATCCTGAGCATATGCACAGAATGCATCTGTGGTGTCTAGATGCCCAGGAATAGTCAGAACTTTTCAAAGCTCTTTACAACCATCTTATTTTTAGGTTTTCTTTTGAAGCTTTTTGTCAGTTCCTTGTTTATCATGTTCTAGAGTAAAACACACATACTTTGTAAAAGCAAAATTAAGAGATTTATTGAAAGTCCAGAGATAACATGAACCTAGATAACACCCAAATTCATAAAGTAAAGATGGCTGCTCTACTAGTCAATAAAGAAACAAGCATTCTTATATAGTTAAAGCAGAAACTAAAGCTCCAAAATTATGACTGACTCAAAGATAATCAGAGAAGTTGAAGGCAGGATATCTGAAAATGGGACTTATCTAGGACTGATGGGTAACATACATATGAGATTACATGATTGGTTAAGTTTACAAAATTGCAAGGATATGTGCTTTTTGGTTAATTACAGGAGGGCCACAGGGCAGTGGCAAAATATACTTTTCTGAGGACATCTTGTTAAAACTCCTTTCTTAAGCATGTCTTTTCCTGGGGGTCCATTGTAATGAAGATTTATCAAAAGTGCTGTGAGTTGAGACCCTAGACTATTGCATCCTGCATCTGCTTGATCATAGAGGAACCATTCCCTGGGAATAGGCTGTGACGTCCTACATCTGCCTGACGCCTGACCACAGAGAAAATATGTTTCCTTTAGGGTATGAGGTTAGGTGAGTACAAAGTTTAGAGACACTTGTTAGAAAAGATAACTTTAAAATTCATCATGAATTTTAAACTCATGTCAAGACTTTAAGATAAAGTTAAACCTCCACATTCAGGCTGCTGTATTTACACATAAGTAAGACATCTGACTGCTATCCAGAAGGCTGGCAGTTCAAACCCAGCAGCCACTTCTAGGAAGGATGGTTGGGCAATCTACTTCCATAGTGATACCGCTTCGGAAACCCAAGGAGGATTCGCTATGAGTCGGTTCCAATTCAACAGCAGTCAGTTTGTTTTTTTTGTTTTTGACACACCTGCCACTCCTCGGAAGGAAGACTGGGCGATCTACTTCCATCGTGATAGTGCTTCATAAACCCAAGGAGGGGTCACTATGAGTGGATTCGACACCATGGTAGTGAGTTTGGTTTTCATTTTGATCTCAAATTCTCATACAATCTCAACTGTTACCTCTGCCTCTGGCAGTTGTGATATTAAGTAATTAATTGTCACTGATTTCCACATTTGTGGGAAAATGCTGTTCCCCTAAATGAACTGTAAGTTAGGTCAACTGAGGCAAACTCTGGGAGTGGGGATTTGGTTTAGCTGCACCAGCCACTCCTTGGAAAGAAGGTTGGGCAATCTACTTCCATAGTATATGGCCTCAGAAACCCAAGAAGGGGACACTGTGAGTTGGATCCCTCTCGGTGGCAGTGGGCTTTTTGGTCAGGTAGTATAGTGCCTAAGGTGCTTGAGTGTTAACCAGAAGGCTGGTGGTTCAAACCCACCAGCCACTCCTCAGAAGGAAGATGGGACTATCTATTTCCATAATGATACTGCCTCGGAAACCCAAGGAGGGGTCGCTGTGAGTCCGGCCGAGGTAACAACAACAACAACAACAGGCCAAATAATGATAATTCTATGATAATGGTGCTTTTGGGCATGCTCTAAACCCACCTTGCCTCTCCAGTGGTTGCTAAGCTATTGAGGTTTTGTTTTTCAAGGCTATTGCTGAACTGAGGGAAGAGGGTGAGAAAAGAGCAAGTTAACATGCCACAAAGATCACTGTTCTTATTGAGATTTAGCTTTGTTCTGATACGATTCTTCTTCAATTGTTACAAGCCTTTGAATAACTTTCAGAGTTCTGAAGACATTGTTTTTGACAGTATTTATGAGTGTCCTCATTGGTTTTACGAAGGAGTAGACTTTTGGAGATTCTTATTCTACCTCCTTAAAGCAGTTATTATTAATCTTATTTTCAAAGGAAGATACTAGAATGAAAGCATTATAAAATTTGCACAAAATTCTATAACTAGCAACTGGTGGAATCAGAATTAGAATACTGGTGGTCCTACTAGTTCCAAAAACCTGTGTTATTTCTACCACTCAATATACCTTGTGTCATATTCTACCTTGAGTGGGAGCATAAAGATAATGAAAAGAATGCTAAACCAATAAGCTAAAGAGTTACAGGGTTAGCTCTAACACTTTTTAAATGACCTTGGGAAAGTCACTTTTCTCCTTAAAGTTGTATTTTGGTATCCTAAAAATGTAATTTCTTCTTTAAGCTGGGCCATGATTATACAAAGGTTTATTTTATTGTTTGTACCTGTGAAAATGGCATGATAACAACATCAGGCCACCTTGTCTAACTTCTCAAGATGAGAGGAGAATCATTATCAGTATCAACAGTCCAAGGCTGATTCCTATAAAAGGAGAAGATCAGACATACCTCTACCCTCCAACCTTTCCACCAATTCTGACACAGCTGTCCTTCCCACAACACTCTCTACTACTCTACTAGGTTCAATAATTCATTGCAATGGCCATACAGAACTCACAGACAATACTTGCAATTATGGGATATATTAAGCAAGTAATGGGTTGCAGTTCAGGATCAGAAATGACTCATAATACAGTTCTTCAATCAGGACAGCCTGTTGCCCTCTGCTGCTGGTTCCTGCTCGGGGTCTTCTTGGGCAAGTGTTACAAAGCTCTTTAGCTCTACTAATTAAGTGCCCAGAGGCACCTCATTCCTCCAGTAAACCTCAAACCAAAGGCACTCAGCTCTCTTAGTCCATGGCCTGGGAAGCCTACCATGCCATTGTCTCTTGCCAGTCTCCCGGTTCTGCTGCTTCTCACCATCTCTCACAATCTCTGGTGCTAAGCTCCTGGGTATGGGAAGTCCCCAGCATAGTCCAAGTTATGTGTTCCACTCTCATCTCTTCTTCTTGGTAGTGGTCGGGTCCTCTTTTTGTGCTCACTTCTCTCTTCCTTTTTCTCTTGTAAGATAAAAGTCATAAGATATATAACTCAAGCAAGAGTGATGAGTAAAGGTGGTGACTTGAGTAAGGGTGGTGACTTGAGGGAGTTCCACCCTAATTCTGACTCATTAACATAAAAAAAATACAACCTAATCCTCATTAAAATAACATAACCTTGCCTAATTAACATAAAAACACAACCTAATGTTAATGACAGCAACCCAAGGAGGGGTCGCTAAGACTGGATGGCACACAACAACAACGTTAATGACATAATATAATCTTGTTTTTTTAACGCACAGAGGTCAGAATTTACAACATACTCAATGAAGAATAATTATAGCAGATCACAAAATGGAGGACAACCACACAATACTGGGAATCTGGGCCAAGTTGACCCATAACCCCAACCATTAAAGGTTCCATATGCCTTATTGTAGGAGCTCTGGTAGCATAGTGCCTAATGCATCTGACTGCTAACCGGAAGGCTGGCAGTTCAAATCCACCAGCCAATCCTCAGAAGGAAGGTTGGGCAATCTACGTCCTTAGTGATACAGCCTCGGAAACCCAAGGAGGGGTCGCTATGAGTCAGATCCGACTCTATGGCAGTGGGTAGCAGGTATGCCTTATTGTATGGTCCTTTCCAGTCATTTTGTGGGAGTCTCAAAGACAATGGCTAAAGAGCCCTATTAAGCAATACACTGCACCACACTACCTTAAACTTGTTATCGGTATTCTTCTATATCTACTATACATTTGATACAATTATTTCATAAAAAATGAAAAGAAAAAAAATACTAAAATAAATGAGAATATGAATAGTATTTCACATACCTCTGGGCCAAACAAATGAGATCAAGGAGATAACCTCAAAAATAAATAAATAAATAAATAAATAAAAAGCCCAAACTTCCTGCCATCTAGTGGATTCCAACTCATAGCCAACCCTTATTGGGTTTCCAAAGCTGTAAATCTTTAGGGAAATAGATTGCCCCATCTTCCTTCCATGGAGTGGCTGATAGGTTTGAACTGCTGATCTTCTGGTTTGCAGCCAAATGCCTTATCCAACTACACCACCAGAGCTCCTTAGTTTGTGGTTGAGACATTGAGGAAGGTCACTTGACCAAAGGAATACAAAATTCAGTGGCTGAGCTGAAACTCAGTTATCTGTTTTTCACTTGAATATTATCCCTGCCATAATTTGATAAGTGAATAGTTATTTTTCTAGCAGGCAAAATAAAAGTTACAGTAAGATTAGGGAGCTGAGGTGCCGACTGAAGACTCCTGGGACACTTGGCACAGAAACCTTCCCAGAGCTCACTTTACCTTCTTGTTCCGAAGAGTGTAAATGAAAGGGTTGAGCATTGGAGTAACTACTGTGTAGAAGACGGCAGGGACCCCAGCTCCTGCCCCACTGGATCGAGGCTGCAGGTAGATACAGACAGGTGGCATGTAGTACATGAACACCACTGTAAGGTGGGCAGTGCATGTGGAGAAGGCACGCTGCCGGCCCTCGGCTGTGTGGATCTGCAACACAGCAGCCACAATAAAGATATAGGATATGACGATGAGGATCAGGCAGCCTGCAGCCACAATGCCAATGTTGGCAAGTATGACAATCTCATTGATGGCGGTTTCTGCACAGGCTAGCTTCAGTACAGGGGGAATGTCACAGAAAAAGTAGGCAATGTGGTGAGGCCCACAGTAGGGCAGGTGGAAGGTGAGGGAGGTATGGATTGCAGAATGCACAGCACCGATGGTCCAGGTGATCCCAGCCAGCCCTGCAGACATTTGCCTATTCATGGCCACTGGGTAGTGCAGGGGTTGACAGATAGCCAGGTAACGATCATAGGCCATGACAGTGTACAGGAAGCACTCAGTGCTGGCCAGGAAGTGGAAGCAGTAAAGCTGGACAGCACAACCCTCAAAGGAGATCACCTTCTCATTCAGTGTCAGGAGACCTGCTGTTACCTTGGGCACTGTCACTGTAGACAAACATGCATCCAAGAAGGAGAGGTGCCCCAGGAAATGGTACATGGGGGAGCAGAGATGAAGATCAGAACCCACAGTTATGAGAATCAAGAAATTCCCGGTCATGGTGATGATATAGATGAAGAGGAAAAGGAGGAAGAAGAGGGCAGGATGTTCAGCTGCATACATCAGACCCTCCAGGAAGAAGTAGCTCACTGCTGTCTGGTTGGGATACTCTGTGTCCATGGCTATTTTTTCACACAGAGGCATTAGCTATTTCCTTGAAACAAAACTGATAACAAAAGATGTATTAAGTAAGCATTTACCTCTTCTGAAATATCATTATCCATTGGGCCAGGCCATCTTGGTTTTGGTCCCTAAGCAGGAGAAAGATATACAGAGTTAATTCACTGTTTTGTCCTGTTTTAGTGTTTACTTGCTGCCTATTTCATACTGAAAGGCTAATCCCTTCAGAATGAGATTTTCAGTATGAGGGCTGCAACGTTTGTGAGACACATAAAGGACTACTAAGATTATTTGGAGACAGGCACCTCCTAGATAATGGAAATACAATCATGGATTGTAAATTACACTCTCATTAGGTGTACATTTTTTTGCATATATTCCAGAATTGTGATGCTTCTGCCCTCCTAATTTGCTCTGCCATGCTGCAGATTGGATAGCCAGGTTCTTATCTTCTGGGAAAACTTGCCTAGAATTTGGATCCTATTACATCAGCCAGTAACAGGGCAGTCCCACCCATTTTTCATCCAGAGGGAGTTCTTTGAAATGTCAGCTGCCCACAACCCTCAGATGTGTGACTATAAGGCCTTGGGGAGTTGACTGGATAATTAGAGGTTAAATGTGCAATATATTTCATACTCATCTTGTAAAACTTTGTCTTTGTAATTGTCCACTTATACCTTTGAAATTGAAGGGTTTTTTTTTTTTTTTCCTCATCTGTTCCTGCCTAAGTGTAATCAGATGTTGCATTATGTACAAATTTTCTTTAAACTGCCTTTTTTCTTTTCAACTACCATGGATGTTACATAAACCTACTATTCATTATTTTGTACCTAGATTTTCACAGTGGTCCTTTATGCCCTCTCAATCACCCCTCTAATCTAACAAATGATTTTGCATTCAACTTCTTTGTCAATCTTTAAACAATGTACGTAAGTCATTTCTCCCCTTTATTAGTCTCCACAGGTTAAAGAACAAAGGACATCTCAGTGTGATATTGACAATTATCTATAATTGTCATATTGATAATTGACAATTATCTATAATTTTCACATTGACAATTATCTATAATTAACAATTATAATATTGACAATTATCTATAGAATTATTTCTATAATTTCTATAACATTTCTATAAAAATTAAAAGAAAAAAAATACTAAAATGATAGTATGAATAAATTTCAAAAAATTATTTAAAAAAAAGATTAAAGGGGGCAAGATGGCGGACTAGGCAGAAGGATTGCACAGACTCTCTTCAACAAGAAAAGGGAAACCAATTAACACAGACACAGAAGATAATCTTGGATCCCTGAGCCTTGAAGGACAGGATGCAGATTTGGACTAAACCCCAACTAGCAGAAGAATTTGCGTGAAAATACCAAAAAAAAGGAGACCTATGGAGCTGCGGTCTGACAGCGAACTGAGTGACCCTGACAATACAGGCGGCTCGGAGATACGCGACTGGTGG